TAATAATATCTAAAGGTAGCTCATATCAGGGGTGAATAACATTCTGTTAATTAAATACATTCATCTCAGACACAGTCCATCTTTTTTTCTATCTTTATCATCTCAAGTTATTATATGAACTAGATTAACCTGAAAGCTTTGGATCTCCTGTTGATAATCTACTTTAATAGAAAATCTCAATATTAACATTTTTTGCTGTTGTTTAATATCAGCATTAGGGCTGCACGGAAATAAAAGTGATTTCGATTTAAAATGCATTTTAAAAACGGGCTTAAAATGGCAAGTTTGCTGTGCATTGCTGGCCAAAATGTTGAGATTATATGAATAGCTAATAGTAGTAATAATAGCAATAATAATAATTTACATGTGCACTGCAATAAATGTTGTTCTTACTTGAGTTTCTATTGGGTTTTTAGTCTAAATATCTGAAAAAAACATCTTAAATCAAGAAGTGTTTTCATTCATTCATTCATTCATTCATTCATTCTTTCTTCAGCTTAGTCCCTTTATTCATCAGGGGTCGCCACAGCCGAATGAACCGCCAGCTATTCCAGCATATGTTTTACACAGCAGATGCCCTTCCAGCTGCAACCCAGTACTGGGAAACACTCATTCACACCCACACACACACACACACACACTCATACACTACAGCCAATTTAGGGGAAACCGGAGCATCCCCACACCAACAAGAGGAGAACATGCAAACTCCACACAGAAATGCCAACTGACCCAGCAGAGACTCGAACCAGCGACCTTCTTGCTTTGAGGCCACAGTGTTAACCACTGAGCCACCAAAAATATAATCTTGTTTTCGAAGATACGACAAAATTAGGATATTTTGTACCTTAAAACAAGCAAGTAAGTGAAATACTCATGTCAAGCCAAAAACAGGATTATTTTACTGACACCATTGGCAGAATATTTAGCTTTTTTCTTGATTTTGACTCATTATTTCTGAAAACAAAACAATATTTTTATTTTAAAACAATACTTATCTAGAAAAAGCTTCTTGATTTAG